AGCAATTGAGATTAAGCCCAAAGCAGAAGATTTTGGGCTTTTATTTTTGGCCTTATGATTGTTTCATTGGAGCTCTAATCTAGCAATGTATTAAGCTTTGGGCCTATTATGTATCCAGACGACGAAAAAAAAAAAAAACACAACACCACTCTCCAGGCGCCACCTAAAATATATGGCATCTTTTATACAATGGTTATTTATATAAAGCAGGGGGGATATTATTTTAGGGGCTACATAACAGTTAAAGGTTATTTACAATATATATAATCGTTATATAATCACCAGGTCTATATAGCGGTCAAAATGAAAACTCGCTATACAATCCTATATCTTTCTAAAATTTTTCTTTTCAAGAGACTATTTAATAGTTATTTTTAAATGGTAAAATAACCATTAAATATTTTTTAAAACTATATATGAATTAACCATTATATAGTCTGAGACTATTTAGCAGTTATTTGTGTAAATAACAATTAAATAGTCTCATTTAAAAACTTTTTGAATGTCTCTAGCTTTCATAAGTAGTTTATTTTGGAAAATTGAAAACACCCTTCTCTCCCACAAAACCTCTCCCGTTCTCCATGGAACCACTCCCAATCATCTCAAATCCCTTTTTTTGGCCATTGAATGTTTGGAAAACATTGTTACCATCATTTGTTGGTTGTCGCTGTGGTCATTTTTGCTTGTTTAGTCACAGCTCTTGCCTTCATTGTGGTTCTCTTCTCTTAGATTGATATTTCTCTCCCTTCTCTCGTCCACTCTTATTTGTTGGATGGTTTGATTATCGTCTTTCACCATTTGCATATTGAGTGTCTCCATTTTGATTATTTTGTGACTCTATGCTTGTGCATTGTGTATGTCTTCCATTGTGCTTTATTTATGCCTCTGTTTATGTTTCTTTATTTCTTTGTTGAATCTTTATAAAAAAATGTTACACACATACACACATGAATCTGATTATACTTTGTTGAATACTCTTGTTTTATTTGTTAAATTTACTTGCTTTTTTGAATTTAATTCCTCTATTTGTTGCTGCCTTTGATTTTATTATCTGAAAAATGGTGTAGTGTATTGCTCTGTTTTTGTTGTAGAAAATAGGCCATTGTTATACCTGATAAAATTTATTTTTATATCATTATACTATCAAATTTTTATTAAAATTATTGGTTTTGCATGAGTTTAAATTTTTTTTTCAAATATTATAAAGAAAAGGCAGAAGACCTAGGGTCTGATGATTTTTCAATTAACTCTAGCCTTATAAACTTGCAATAGATTTTACTTGACAAATTTTTCTTTGTAATTACATTAGTGTATAGGCATTGTTTGAGAATTTTAAAATATTTTTAATAAATTTTAAAAGTTATTATAGGATTGAATATTTTTGGATTCAATTGTATACGAATTTTAGTTGAAATTGGAATATTCTATTACTAGTGCATTTATGGGATGTCTATAATTTGTTTCACAGGAACTACTTGAAATACAAGTCCCTATTAAAAAAAATTGAATTATATAGCGACTATTTCAATCCTAATATAGACACAACTGTTTAACGATTATTTTAAAAAAATCATGAAATAGTTTTTGGACAACCAGGTGAAAATTGATTAAAATTGGGCAAAACTATTTAATATTTTTTGTAAATAACCATGAAATATTGTGAAACTATTTACCAGTTATTTAGGAAAAATTCCACTATAGTTTGGTCAATGGTTCATTGAAACAAAAATTGCAAAATCTATTTAATAGTTCTTTTTGTAAATAATCACTATACATACCTTAGTAGTTAAAAATTGCTTTATAGTTGCCCTTGGACTGTACAGGGCCTGAGTATATATAGCAATTAAAAATTGGCAAAAATAATCACTATGTAAAGCCCTCTTTTAGTAGTGAGGCGAGTAAAACTAGAACAGAGGGTTGCTCATCTTTTGATTCTTTTAAATAAAATTCAGGTAATTTATTTAAATTTTAAATTGTTTTATTTTAATAATAATCTTGCTTTGATACAAAGGTTTCTAGTGATAAAAAAATTAATCAAATTAGGAACGAGATCCTAACATTGATATAAAAACTCTGTTAATAGGCTATTTGTAAATATAGCTTTATAATCGCTTTTTGAATCTGAATATATGTTCAGGCCCTAGAGTCATTGGGACTCAATCTGTCCCGGATGCTTCAAATTTCAGACAATAATGGCGTTATTATTTGATGAAGAAGATGAGAGCCGTTGAAGCTTTTAATGATTCTCTACCAACCTCCTAGGACCTTCAGGCTTCAAACCATTCGTTTGTTCATATAGAGCTTGGCCCTAGTGATGATCATAATTAAGTTTGGAAAAAGAAAAGATGCACTTAATATTACTGAAAATTGAAAAAGCGTATTAATTCATTCATATATAATATTTCTAATTTATTTGATTTACAATTTTTCTATTGAACATAATTATTATAATATTTTGGGAGCATTCCCCATGTTATTAAAAATAAGAAACAATTTTAAGGGAAAATTTTCACAAATAATTGCCCCTCATTTGTAGGCACTAAACTCTTCATTTTCCTGTGTTGATTAACAAAGGAAAAAAAAATGAAAGATGCTAGAAAGAATGAGAGCAAAAGAGAGAACAAAAATATATGTCACGGTCAGACAGCAATTACTTTTGATCGAGTTTTCTAATCCATGTGCATCAGTCGACTTATTATTCCTCATATTTGATAAGAGAGAATATGTACCTTTCGTTGTATTATATATGGTCCATCAGCTTTCAAGTATAATAATCACTTTCAGGTCTACACGGCGATTAAGCTAACGGATATGTAGTTTAAATCGTAACAAAGTGCAAATTTTTTTTTTTTGTAGAATACATTTATTTATGAAAAAATATAACTTTTAATTTCTGCACTTTGCTTATATTTTGTTATAAATTTTTACATTTTTTTTATATTTTGAGTCCTTATATTTTTATTTTTTAGTGTTTTAAGTCCCTCAAAGGTCTTTATATCTTGTTTATTCTGGGACTTAGAATATCAAAAAATAAAATTATAAGGACTCAGAATATAAAAAAAAGTGCAGGAACCTATAACAAAAAATAAGCAAAGTGTAAGGATTAAAAGTTTTGTTTTGTCTTTATTTATTACTCCCTCCACTAGATCATATAGAGACAGAGAGAAAAAAACGTAATAAATAGACTCTCTCTATCCCAATTTATAATACAATCTTAGCTAAGATTATGCACACTGCTCATTAATATACACATTCATAATCTTATTTTTTTGAAAATAAAAATATAAAATTTTAAAAATACTCCTCATTTAATAATCCCAAAGAGAGAGAATATAATGAAAAAAGGCTAATATTAAACAAGTTTATATATTAAATAAAATTTTATTTTTATCAAATTGTTTTATATTTTAGGATATATCAACCACCTCCAAAATCATTTTATATAGTGGGACTGTCCATCTTGTTCTACTCACCAGCCACTTTCAACGTTTTCACTTTAACAAAGAAAAATCTTAAAATTCATTGATGTTGTGTTTTGAAATTTAAAAAATTTTTAATTTTTTCTCTATTAAATATATAAACTTTAATAATGTATTCTTTTTTCCAACTCTTAATGTTGATAAAAGGAGAAATTATAGTAAAAATTTAATTACATAATTTATAAATAGGATAAAAAATTATTTTTTTTCTCTACCTTATGAATGGAATGGACGGAATACTCTATCAAAAGAGAAAAAAAAAAAGAATGATCGGAATATATATTTTCCATATTGAATAATTTATTATTATTATACTTTTAGCGGCATTAAATTAGAAGCGAATTTCATAAAGTATGTCATATTTTTATATCTTTATTATATATATTAATCTGTATGCAATTAATAATCTTGAATGTCAAATTATAATGGAATGGAGGAAATATTATATTAATTTTACGAAAACTTCGGTTATATCATGATTTCCCTAGTAGTCAATGTACAAAATGTTTTTGTGACATTTTTTTTTTAATTGGATAGAGCATAAGTCATATATACTTCCTCTGGTCCCATATTTTCATTTATAAATCACATTTTAGAATGTCTATTTGATCTCATTTATAAATCATAGTGTGACTTTTTAAATAATATTTAAAAAATATTTTTAAAATTAATCTTCATGAAAGAAAAAAAGTAACGTAATATTACTTTTTAGATTTATTATATAGCGATACATTTGAAATTTACACACTTTTTTCTTTTACCTTTTTACATTAATATTAATGAGATTGATAGAAATAACTGATAAAGAAGACAAGAAAAGTAACTACTTTCATACAAACATCAAGACAATTATCAGAAATTAGCTAGCTAGCATCTTTTACTTCACAGCTCTAAGTATTTTTTTAGTAATTTTTAAATCTTACAGTGTCATTTTAATTAATTACTGTTAAAAGTTAATAAAATGACTTATATTATGATCTAATAAGGAATCCTTTTGAAATATGATTTATAATAGAGAGCAGAGAGAATATATTTTACAAGTTAACTAACTTCTATATATTCATAAGTACATCTAGTTTATTTGTTAATAATAGCTAGTAACTTAATAGCTTCCCTTATGCTTTTGCTCAAAATAACACAGACACAGACACAGACACACAGACACACAGACACAGACACACACACACACACACACACACACACACACACACACAGAGAGAGGAAGCAACACACACACATACCCAATGTGCAAGAAAGTAAGGATTTTTCCACTCACTGATTCCTTAAGAAATTAAATATCATATATATATATATATATATAACTCCATCCGCAGTAATTCATGGTTCACACATGTATATAGTAGACATTATATGGTAGAAAGAGATGCACAAAAACCACCCCTATCTGCAATATAACCAGAAAAATACAAGCAATAGAAATTCATAAATATGATATCAGTTCATACATATAAAATAACCATTGAACTGAAATCTTCAAATATAGATCATATATGGATGACATTAAAAGAATCGTCTCAGAGTGGGAGTGGTCTGCTTTACGGGCTCACGACCTAAACGAAGCTCAAGGTCTAACTCCATCTTCTTCTCTTCAAAGCCGAACAAAATAGGAAGCTGACAAATTTCTGAAGAAATACCAATGTTTACCTTTGCCTCTGGGAAAATTGATGGCATTTTGTGAATATTATAATCAGAGTTCTGGTGCTGATCGTGACAAAGATCATTACCGCCGTTCGTAGTGTCAAGAGACAGCCAAATATTCTCTTGACAATATTGTTGCCTCAGCCTCGCTCTGTCTCTTCTATGAATGTTCATGTGACCACCAAGAGCTTGTGCATTTGAAAATCCTTTCTGACAGAATCCACACGTATAGGATCTAACTTGTGTTGCTTCCTCTGAATATCCCCACCTTATTCTCTCAGACTTGTCCTTGTTTTCAAGGCTAAACTCCATATCTCGAGACAGATTTAAAGATCAGAATACGATGAAAAACAAAGCTTAGGTCAACACAGGTTGGCTAGCATCGAGACATTTATAATCACAAGCCAAGTGTACGGACTTACTATATGAAGTCTGCCCTAGAAGTAAATGTTGAATAAAATAATAGATGTAGGTTTTTTCCCCTGTGATCGTTCAATGATTCTACTAGACATAATTCCTTTAGATTGCATGGAGAGGATGAGCAAGAATTAATATGATTTTCATGTTTGATCTTTTAGTTTTTATGAAGAGCTAACAAATGATTTCCCAGAGGTTGAAAAGTTAATTCTGGTTTTTAATTACCTATAAGATTAAACTTCAAGAGTTATTAATTCACGATATGGTTCACATCCAGCCATGACAATCTTATAGTACTTCTTTGTACCGCAAAGGATGTATTTTGCCGCAGTTGAGTTATGATCTCGATCAATTGATAGCGGCTATCATTGATAGTTTTTTATAATCAAAATTGATGTTTCCACGAAAGTACACAGTGTATTTTATTACATGACAAATGGTAAATCATATATATATATATATATATATATTAATTTAGCTCTTTTGTGGCGGCATTAGACGTCCTCAATTGCAATTGCCATTAGATAATATATATATTTAGTGGTACTTAGAAGTTCTCATCAATTAAATACGTAATTATTAGTATCGAGTGTGCTTATAGTATTTCACTAAAAAATTGAAAATGAACTGGCCATTGAATTGATTAAGATATTAAATCACAGTTAAATTATAATTAAATTAATTATCAACAAAATATTTTATTAAATTGATAAAGACAATTGTTAGATAATTTATTGGATCAATTGGCCAAGTTGACATGGTTTTCAGCAAACATAAATGATATTGTTAGATTGTCCAAATATGAGTGGGTTTAAGTAGATGTAGGCAATCTCACATCGGATAAAGTTGGAATTAATAACTAATATAAAATAAAAAAGAATGACCCATAAACTTGAGTCTTAAAGTTTTGAATTAAGATGTGACATCCTTTCTTTACTTTTGCCTGTCTCTCATCTCCCCCCATTTTCAGGCAATCACCCCTCATTTTTAACAAATAATATCAGAGCTAAGTTTTACTCAAGACTTATAAGTCTTTCATTACTCACATTTAAAGCCTAAAATAGGATTGGCCTTGCTTTAGCAAGGACTAGTATGTGCTACACGGTTTGAAGCTTGAAAAATTGGGCTAGCCCTAAAAAAAAAAAGCAAACTAAGTGTTTGGAGCATTTTTGATATGGGGATCTTGTGGATAGACTTAAATAGATTTGGGAAACCACATCTGATAAAGTTGAGATTAATAACTAAAATAAAATAAAAAAAAGAACCCACAAATTTGAGTTTTGAAATTTTAGATTAAGATGTGGTATCCTTATGTTATTTTTGCTTGCCTCTCAACAGATATAACAAACGTTGAGTAGCAATTTTCTCTGTTCCCGTGATTTAGATTCCGTACAGCTGTGAGAATTGAACCGAAGCCGACGATGATGATATTAATTAGTTACTAGTGTATATAAGCTTCGGTGATAATGATGATACTATTAAAATATATACTTAGGGGAAATATAGAAACAAAAATCCTTGAAATTAATTAGTCATGGCGGGCTAATTAACAAGAGCCAAGAGGAGTCTGAAGCCGTACGCCACTCTCTGAAGCAATTTTTTTAATCAGTTCATCAAATCCGTACGCCCTGTGCATCTTCTGATATCATGTTGGGGTTTAACAAATTATTTCAATTTGTGTAGTGCTAATGGACTCTAAAATGAATTGTTCCATTTCTTATAATTATTTTATATTATATTGATATTTGCGTCTTTAAGAATCATCACACGATTAAGTAATGTATAAGAATATAATTCAAGTATATGTACTCATAATCGTTAGTTATATACTCAACTCTTGTAAGATAACACTGTTTGGCTTAAAGGTGTGAGAGTGTGTGAGAGTATGTATTGTTAAATGATAATTTTATTTCATTTTTTTTTTGGTAATGAGTAAACTTTCTTTTGAAAATTTCTCTCTCTCTCTCTCTCTCTCTCTCTCTATATATATATATATATATACATATATAAAAGGGAGAATGACAAAGAGATTCCAAAAATATTAATTAATTTAAATTAGGTCTCAAGTGTTAAACTTTAAAAATTTATAACTCAATATCTCAATTTTACAATTGTGTTATGATGAATATGTAACTTATTTTTAAAATTTTATTATGATTGAAGAATAAAAAATTATTTTTTGTTGAAATTTAGAATATAAGTTGAAAATTTATCGCAATGAAATTATAAAATTAAGAAATTGAGTTGTAAATTTTTAGAGTTTGACACTTAAGACTTAAGTTAAATTAATTAATCTTTTTGAGACATCTTTGTATTCTCCCTATTACTCCCTCGAGATGTAAGACACTTTCAACATGTATAACACAATAAAAAAAACTTAATTTTTTAAATCTCATGAAAAATTGACTCACTTTTTAGTTTTGTATTTTTTTACAATTAACATTCAAAATTTTCCATGCATAATAAATATTCATTCCACCTTCTAATCAACGCAGAGTAAAAAGGAAAAGATATTTCTTAAAAATTTAAAAATGATGTACATTTTGATAACCAACAATAACTTATAAAAATGGCCTACGTACATCATATGGCTCAAAGGGAGTAGTATGTCTTAAAGAGTTAGGGCATATTTAATTGTTGAAAAGAAATAGAATGGAATGGAAAACATTAATAGAGGACAAAATAAACTAAACTAAGATTGTAGATTAATAGAAGTGGTGAGAATTATAGGTAGGGAATGGGGAATGATGATCATTTTATTCATGTCTATCTTCATTCCCACCTCTTCATCATCCCATAACTTTCCTTTCCTTTTTGTCGTCCTCGCTTCACTATAAACTCATTTTATTTAATTTCTTTTAAAAACCAAACAGGTCCTTAGTTTATCAAGTTGACAAAAGAAAATAATTAATTAAATTCACCAAGGTTTTATTCAGCGTTCATACCAACGTCCAGATTCCGTGGCAGCCTCAAAAGAATTAATTATATGTTCCTTACAATATAATTGTGTAGCTAGCAGTGACCCTTGTACCAAATAAATGTACATAAAGGATTTGGTCATGGGGAAGCAACAAATCTTAGAGGCTCAGAACTCATCCATGTATCAGCATTGCATAATCATTTAGGACACAGGCATTGAAAATTGACTCTTCACTACAAGAGGTTGGGACAAGTGTGAACCCTTAAGAATGGCGTGCAATTTTTTATATTTGCTACTTAGGTCTCTATTAGTTCTTACTTCTTCCATGATCTCACAAGTTGATGACTCGTCGTGGGTTGTTTTTTTTTTTTTGGAAAATCATTTCAACTGGTTTGTTGGTTAATATATTGGAAGAAATTAAATTTGCAGGGGGGGTTCAATTGTAAATGAAAAAAAGGATATCTTGGAATAATCTAAGGTATACTAATATGTATCTTCGGCCTCTTAAACTGAATTTGTAAAAAAAAAATTATTTTATTTCATTCTTTTATTACATACCAGAATTCCAGAACAACGATTTAATATCTAATCTTAAGAGTGCATTTGGGAGTTTATGATTGGATAAAAAGGAATGATCATTAATAGAATGGAATGGAAAGGAGTGAAGTAGAGTGGAATAAAACAATTTTTTTTTTGTTTGAGAGTCTTATAATGGGAAAGGATGGTTTTACTTGACCATTATTTGGGAGTTATTATAAAATGAATGAAAAAATAGTTTAAAGAAAATAATAATGCCCATTAAATAGTTATAATATTTATGCAACAAAAAATAATAATAATAATTAAAATTAAAATTAAAATTAATGGTTAAATAAGATATTCAAGAATTAAGAATAAAAAGTAAAAGTAAGTAACAGAACTGTTTATGCAAACATTCCCGTTGCACAAGAGAAAAACACAATAGAGTCTTAGTGTTAAAAGGTGCAATCGAGAGAGATGGCAAGCGCGGGAGAGATATGGCAGGAGGAATAACAATACATTATGTCTGAATGCTGATCAGTCCAACCTTGCCTATAGCATTTGAACACATGGGTTATGCATCAATAGGGGTCAAACATTGTATTGCCCGAACCTGTGCACGTTTTTTTTTTTAATTTTTTGTGACTAATATTTAATTTATGGCATTATTTTTTTTAAATTTATCATGAATTATATTATTTTTATGATATTTTAGACATTTTCTTATTATTACAATTTTTTAAATCTCTTTCAAAATTTAAAATTTATTTTTAACTTATTATTATGTAAAAATAATTGGGAATTGTTGTTCATTTTAACTTTTAAAAAATTACTTTTAATTCTAATATTAGTTTTATGAAGAATATATTTTAAATAATAATAATAATATTTTTTAAAGAAAATTTTTTATGTATCTTTTGAAAAAAAATACTTGTAGAAATATTTTTGGTTAATCGAGTTAATGTAGTGCCCAAATGCGCATAGGCCTGGGCATCAGGCTGGGGTGATGCTTAACCCAATCCTGCTCATATGAAACTCGAGCAAGAGGTAAGAGAGATGGCCGGAAAATAAAAATAACAGATGAATTTTATTAGGATAGGAGGTTAGGGGTAATTTTGTAAATGAAATAATTATACTGTACTATTTCATTCTTGACCCCTCAATTTGGAGAGATAAAAAATATTGAGTTATGGATAGCAAAAAAAGGTTTTAGAAACCCTTCCTTGCTCTTCCATCCTTCTTTAAAAAAAAAAAAACTCACAAATAATGACTTCTATCTTTTAACCATCCCACTCCACTCTTCTCCTCCCTAAACAAATCTCTTAAAAATAGTGTAATATTGTACAGAAAAATAATGAAAAGTCAAGTAATTATCTCATAATAAAATATATTCATGTTCCATCGTCAAGCTAACCGATTGAAAAGTCAAAGCCTTTTTGGGAAAATTAAAATTTGA